TTGTAATGAATGATAAAATGCTATAAAGATAGAAAGCATGCAGTAACATGACCCTTACAACTGATATGAAGAGTCTCCAATGATATCATGGATGGTAATTTTATTTTAGTAAAAAAATATCGGTTATTCAAAATCACAAGGCCAATGATCCAAAATTGATTTTTAAATTATAATGGAATAAGGGAGAAAGAAGGAGACTATAGCTAGAAGTTCAAAAGGACCAAAATAGTTTTTACTCTTCTTCATGAGAAGAAACCGCTCCCTCTAGTGTTAGTTAATGATTTAAAACCCTTGACCTATATCGGAATACTCATTTCAAGGCCTTAAAGAATGAGCATTGATATAACTATTATAAATTGATGGAGTATCAAATAGTTAGAGCTTAAATGAAAAGAATAAATATTTAATTTATTGATGTACTTAATGTAGGAAGAAAAGATATGATAAAGTTTATAATGTTAATTAGAGGTAAAATAAAAAAATAAAAATTTTTCATAATAAAGTACTTTTATGAGTAGTAAAGATATATTCAATTTAAGATATCTCAATAAATTCAAATCGAATTCAAAAAAATAAATGAAAATATTGATCCATATCTAGTTAAACAGACTCAAATTTAAATCGAATTCGAACTGAAATGTAGTTCATTGTCAATATTGGTTTAGTTGGTTTTTCCAAGTCATTGTTTTCGACTAGTTTTTTTTTCGTTGTCAATTTGGTCACGTTGGTAGTTAATTGGTCACAATTTTCTTTTTTCCTAATAAAAAATGAGTCCAAGTAATACGGGCCCAAGTTTGTTGGAGCCATAATTATTTGACATGCCGTAGGTTTTAGGCATGTTACATTGAATCATATTATTATTATTATTTTTTGGTATTGTCGTCACGGTTTTGAGTAAACTTATACATAATAGTTAAAATATGACCCAACTAATTAACATGATACAAATACAACATGAAATTAGAGCATTTGAATCTTTTTTAAGCCATTCATTTTGTAAACGAGTGGATTTGACACGATCCGATTAATAAACGAGTCAAGTATGAGTAAAGTCAATCACAAGAAATACACGACACGACTTGTTTATATATTGGTTATATACGATACAATATGATACGAATTCGATATGATATCACTCATTAGTTAACATGATACGAACTTTTTTTGTGTGTTTATCGAGCCTCTGAACTCTCTAATTGTGTCAATTGAGTCTTTCTGTTTGTCTCCGTTATAGTATGGACTCAATTAACATAATTAAGGAGTTTAGGGTCTCAATTGACAAAAAAAAATTAGGAACTTAATTGACACAAGAGTAATAGTTTGAGAATCATATGTTTAGTTTATTCTAACCATTTGTGTAGCGTGGGTGATACACTTTACCATTTTCTGTTAGAAAATCTAACGGAAATAGACATAATGGATCAATTGGTATAATTAGAGAGTTTAAGGACTCAATTAATACAAATATCATAATTTAATAGTCATATGTATAGTTTACTCAAATTATTTTATATTATGCAGTAAACAAAGTGTCACACCCGTCCCAAGAGACCTATTTGGCTTCCCTAAGAAAATTTGTATATGATAACTTTTGTATTTATATGCAACCATGCAAAATTATACAATAGTACAACTAACTACTTATTAAATAAAAATTAACGAAATATCTGACTGAGTACACAACGGAGTAGCGCTAGGGTTTTTACCCTTTACCATAGGAAGGAAACACACACTATTGTACCACATGTACGTGATTAGTTTCCTTAACCTCTCTTCTCTATTGTGCTAATGTTGTAGTGAATCCAACTCTAAATTTCAGTTTTTTGAAATTAAATATTTTTTCAGTGTATAGCGCATCATAATAAATGAAAATATAAAAAATATATATATATTCAATATCATTTCACCAAGATATGTTCACAACTTGATAAAAATGACAAAATCAAAAGTGTTTCAACGCACTTTGTAATCTCAAATCGCTACCAAGTTTCAACATAAATAAATAGTCTACATGTGCTATGAGTCAATAATAATATTTAAGCAATGTATAGCAATCAACAATATTTAACTAATGTCAAACTATCTATAATATTTAAACAATGTCAAGTTGCTTATGATAACTGTACAGTGTCTAAATCAACAACATTCAAGTTATATCAAGCTATCAAACAACTCTGACATAGTTGATACTATTTAAATCACAAAATTTTCAACAAAGTATATTTGATCCATTATTTACTCAACTCATCGCAAATCAAATTATCGAAACTTCGTTTCATATGGTGAAAGTAATTCATATGTCATATATTTTTATTTTTAATTATTATAAAATAGTACACTTCACCGATCACATTCAATCAAACATACAACTATGATAAATGCTTGATCCCCACGTGAAATTGGTACATTTTCTTCTAGACCTAATACATGGAAAATGATCATGGTACACATGAGTATAAACTCTTGACAACTCAATGGATCTAAATGAATGCATATGAGCTTGTTTAACTTAATTTCGTTTTCTCTCCGACTCGACTCAACTTTTCAAATCAATTCTAACCCAATTTCACAAATTAATTTAAAATCAACTTCTATCCTTAATAAATCAATATAAAATATATTTTATACAAAATTAGATTTCCCAATACTTCGTAAAACATTTGTTGATTATTTTTTGACAGGATATTAAATATGCTCCAATAAATGTCAATCTTCTTTTTTTTTTAGCTATTTTGTAACAAAAAATTGTATTTTTACAAATATGTGCGCGCTGATTTTTGCACAACAGTAGAAGTAGGAACAGATCTCTCCCACGATGAACTGTAGTTCGACAAGACAGTAGTTCCGGCAGAACGGAAGGTTTGTTTTCAGAATTTCTGGTCGCCTCCGGCAGAGTTTCAACCCATTCAAAAATGAATTTTGGCAACAAAAAGTAGGTTGAGAGGGACAAAGGAGTCCTAAGGACTGGTGATGAATTGTTTGTTAGGTCGCCTGACCGGTCCTGGAAGACCGTAGGGGGATCCTGTGACACAAAAAAATAGGTTAGAAGAGTGTCGGAGCGCTATCCGGCGTATCCCTTCCAACGATCAAGTCAGTTCTTTGAGATAGGGGAAGAAAAAAAATATTGTGATTTTTTTTAAGAGTTCTCGAGTACCTTTGCAATATGTTTTTGAGGACTATTTATACCTTCAAAAGCTCATTATTGCTGATAATATAGCTAATAGACAATCATTAGAGATGGGGCAGTGTGCCCCCTTTCCTTTAGTGGGGAATGCATCCAACCTAAACTGCTCGGGACGCCAAGCGATTGATGCTTTCCCCTCGATCTGCCGAGTATTCAATACCCTTCCCTCGACGAGAGAGTATTAAATGCCCAGACATGAGAGCATTTAATGCCTTTAACTTCTTGGCCTCCATGCCTTAAATGTTGTCTTATCAGGAAGGGGGATTCATTAAATACATACTTGCTCTAGTCATGTGTTAGATGGGATACCCAGGTCGTTTTTGCTACTGATTTGATATCAAATTCCACGCGTCCACTCCTCTTTGGTTGCGTGTTCTGCATCCCTACTCCTCTTGACACCATTGAGCAGAGCATCTTCATGATGATTGGCCTAACCAGTCCTAGGCTAACCATCGGTCAATCATTATCTTTCGTAGAAGCATAAGAGACGTTGGATTCAGCCTACAGAAGGAACATCTTGATACCAAGGAACATTTGTTTGTCTTAGGGTCAAGAGTTTTTGCCGAGCCGAGGACATGTGTATTGACCATTTCGATGGGGGGGATCCCTTGGCTCTGAGCACTATAGCCTCGGCTGATAGGGATGAGTGTCGCCAAGGAAATGTGGTCATTCTTAGTTGAAAACATAACGATACCAAGAATACGTGTTGCCAATCTATCCTTTTTCAAAAATGTCCCATCAAAATATAATATGATATCCTACCATATATTGTTCCAAAGCTCGCTGAGTTTACTTTCCAACAAAATTGACGGTACATCAATCCAAGTTTTTTTATAAAATGTTATGCCCGTTTTATTATAGGGTGTCAAAGTTATTTAATACATCTCATACCCGAAATTTTTAATATATTTTTCTTTGATCCGAACAAATCCAATTCATTTTATATCACAACCATATCATTATATTATCAATGAACATCCATAAATCAATATCTAAGTTATTTAATAGCATATCTAACAAATAATCGACTAAAACTAAAAAATAATTTGTTCAATGCTACATGCTACATGCAACTTTCATACTTTAATTTATCACCTCTAATAGTTATACTTGTACATATAGATCTGAACTCGTAGACCTTGATTCAGAAATTCAAATTCGTTGTAACTTCATTGAGGAAATATTATATTTTCAATTGAATTTTAACCTCTGAACCAATCTATAGCACTTTTTCTATCCAAAGAATTATCAACTGGAAAAAAATAAAATATAAACAAAACAACTTTATTTGAAGAAATTAAATCAATTGATATGAAATTTAATCTATCATAAACAATAACGTACTCAAATTTAGTAAGAATTAGAGTTACACTTTCACCCCCTTATTTCAATAAATTCAACTAAAATCCACAACTTTTATTCAATAGCTTCTATTTCTCTATACTATTTTTTTTTAAAAATATTAATCAGGATCTCACACAAATTGTGCTGGATTTTACAAATTCGAATGTTGAACAATATTATAGAGATTTAATTTAAAGATCTAATTACGGACTAAATTTATTATAATAATTGAAGTAATTATAAATTTTGATATTGGATAAAGACACTTTGTGGGGCTTCACTAAAAAGCAATGGGACCGTACCTCACTGAATCATCTCAACTCTTCCGGAACCCACGTTCCAAAGTTGAGCGTACGCGGAGTCAACGTCGATTATCTCTGATTCTCTATATTATGCTGATTCTCTCACATTATTGCACATTCTCGTCAAATTTCGCCTCACATTCAGATTTCGTACCAAACCCATTCTCTCTCTCTCTCTCTCTCTCTCTCTCTCAATTATCCATTTGTGTCTCTTTCTTTGTCTCTCAATTATCCATTTGGTGTCTCTGCGGGAGCTAATCCAAACGCTAAATTTAACCGACAAACATATAAAGAAAAACCAGAGAAATCCGACGATTCTCCGTAGTCAAATCGTCATATTCCGATCGCAAATCTTTCAATTTTTCAGCCCCTTAAATGGGCTCTATCGGTTTCAAAACGTTTTGTTATCAACCGCATCGCCGAGGTTTCGTTTTCTCCGTAGCTGGTGTTGAAGTTAACGAAGCGTGATCTGGGTGTTCAAGTTTCTTTTTGGGTTGTTGGGATTACCAAATCTTTTTTTTTTTCCTTTCAAATTCGGGAAGATGAATGTTGCGAAGTCTCAGGTTTGGCAGCCTTGTAAGAAGAAGAGATCTTGAAATTTCAGTTTATACATATCGACGGAGAAGTTGATACAGAAGCAATGGATGGTTTTTGCGTAATCAGATCTTCAATTCATTAGGGGAGGGAGAGAGAAAGGGATATACACAATGGATGGTATCTGTATTGAGGTTTGAATTGATATAAAGACATAAAAAAAGGTATAAACACAGAGGAGGGGAGAGAGATTGAGAGAGAGGGGGAGGGATGGCGTCGACATCAAGTGGTGGGAGTGCGAGGACGAGAGTGGGAAGGTACGAGCTGGGGAGGACTTTAGGGGAAGGGACGTTTGCGAAAGTGAAGTTTGCGAGGAATATAGAGACTGGTGAGAATGTTGCCATCAAGATTCTTGACAAAGACAAGGTTCTCAAGCACAAAATGATCGGTCAGGTATATTCGAAACTTTCCCAACTCTCTTCCGCCCCCCTCTCTCTCAGAATCTATTTGGGTGCTTGGGAAAGTGGTGAATGAAGAATTTTGATCAGCACACACACACACACACACACACACACACACACACACACATATATATATATATTTGTGTGGATGTGGTTGTGAAATTGCAATTTTTTTTTTGGGGGGTGGGGGGATTGTTTATATTTTGATTACTGTCTGTATGGAATCTTTGGATGCCAAGATATGTAATGAAGACGACAGGAAAATGAAATTTGAAGCTATACAGGCAATTTGTAAAGAGGACAACTGAGCTGAAGTGTCTGGGGTTGTATTGTATGGGATGAAGATGAGGATTTGAGTCCAGATTTATACTATTTCTACAGTTTTATTCAGTAAAAGGCAAAGAATAGTTGGCTGAAGTTATGTTTTAAGGGACTGGAAGGCAAAAGTTATTTGGTGGCTCATGCATATTGTTGTTGTTTAATCAACTAAATAAGTGTATTAGGCCAAGGATGGGAGAATGCTTGATCTAATCAACTTAATTAAAGGATCTGTTGTTGCTGGTACAAATAACTCGGTTTTATTCATTCCCTGTGCGATTCTATTAATTTGTTGGCCGTTTTAATAAACTTTCTGGATTGCCTGGTCAATAAAGGAATAAGAAATTATGAATGTTCTGACTGCTCAGCCGGTTTCTTCTTCTTTTGGTTTCTCTGTTGCTCTATATTGACTATACCCTAATGATGAGACTGTACTGCTTGAAGAGTTATATTTAATTTGGATGTAAACATAAATTTGTTATTGTTTTTTTGCCCATAATGTTTGCGTTAACACTTTAATCCTGTATTGACTTTGCAGATTAAACGTGAAATCTCAACCATGAAATTAATCAGACACCCAAATGTCATCCGTATGTTTGAGGTTAGAATGTGGTTCATTTATTCTTTGTTCTCTCTCCCTAAATTTTTGGCACAGGTTGTTAGTTGGTTTGTCTCACTTACGTGTTCGTTTTCTAGGGGGTGTATTCTATCCTTAGTCTCTTACCTTTTACATCCAGATTATTCTCATGCGATTATTTCTATAACTATGTGTCTAATAATTTTTCTATTTTTTTATTATCTTTCTTTGATTCCCCCCCACCCCCCGCGGCCAAAAAAAAAAAAAATCATCATGCTATTTACACCAGTGGACTTGTAATTCAATATGATTTGAGATTGTTCGCTCTGTGCTCTTTGCCAGAGCATACCAATTAGCATGTTTCTGTTTCTTGATCATTCTGTACTTCTTCTTCAATGACGCAAGGTCCTTTGGTGTAGGTTATGGCCAGCAAGACAAAGATATACATTGTTTTGGAATTTGTTACTGGTGGTGAACTTTTTGACAAAATTGTAAGAAATTAATTGCTTCACATATGCAATCTTGTTTTATGCAATAGTAAACAAGGGATTTTGTGCTATTCTATTTGATCTAGGCTACAAAAGGGAGGCTGAAAGAAGATGAAGCCAGAAAGTATTTTCAGCATCTCATTAACGCAGTGGATTACTGCCATAGCAGAGGCGTATTCCACAGAGACCTCAAAGTGAGAAGTTTCTGTTTAGTTTCTTTTGAAATCTTGCAACGGTGATTCAAAAGTATTAAATATGCAGAACTGATATATAATACAAATCAATACTTTTATATGCTTTGTAATTATAGCCGGAGAATCTCCTACTGGATGCCAATGGAATTCTTAAAGTTTCGGATTTTGGATTGAGCGCACTACCTCAGCAAGTGCGAGTGAGTATGATGATCACCTGTCTCGTGTGAAAGGGATTTGATAGTAAATATGTTCCACATTCCACACTATAAATTTTTGCAAACTTAATGAGCACCACACCATTCTTTTTGGTCTTTGTAACACAGTAGTGCTTCATTAGCACATTTTTTATTAACATTTGATGCGATTTGTTTTCCAAGATAGTCAAATAAGTTAATGAAACCTTTTTGTGTAGGAAGACGGATTACTACACACAACGTGTGGTACACCAAATTATGTCGCTCCTGAGGTACGTTAGTAGTTTGTGGTACTATTTATTGTATTTTTTTATTGCTCAACCCCAACTGTTTCTCACATTTTTGGCTGTCTCTTTCTAGGTGATCGACAGCAAAGGTTATGATGGAGCGAAGGCAGATCTATGGTCGTGTGGTGTAATCCTTTTCGTCCTTATGGCAGGCTATTTGCCTTTTGAAGAATCCAACCTCATGGCCTTGTACAAAAAGGTGAGGAACAACTCTGTTTTGTTTAAAATCCCATCTCCAGTTCTTCCTCATGGCCGTATACAAAAAGGTGAGGAACAACTCTGTTTTGTTTAAAATCCCATCTCCAGTTCTTTTTTCTTTCCTAGTTTTGTGAAATATCTCTTTTCTACGAGTTTTTTAAGCGAGGCTAACTTCTGATGGACCCATTGACCTTTTATGATGGTTTGAGATCTGGGCCAAAAACATTTCATTTGGTGTCCTAAATCTGTGATGATTGAAAATACCCCCACTGCAGACTTAACCTTTCTTGACTTCAAAAATGCTTCAATTGCTCAATGCTAGAAAGAAGAAATACAAATAGAAACTCTAGTAATACTATTCTGTGTGTAAGCTTACTGAGCATTGGATTCTATCTAAAATATTAGTGGAGTTTTTGACATCCAAATGTTAGTGGAGTTGAATACATGGTTTCTCTTTGTTTATGTATATATGCAGAGGCTATGATAAGCTACGTAATCATGTAGCTGCAATCTGAAATTTAACAAAGCTCCCAGGAACACCACCTTTTCTCTTTCTTTTGTTGCAGCCATTACCCAATTTAATTTTTTCTTTTGTTGCGGCCATTACCCAATTTAATTTCAAAGATATCTCAGATGTGGTGTTCCTGGGAGCTTTGTTAAATTTCAGATTGCAGCTACATGATTATGTAGCTTATCATAAAAAGGAAGAAGAAAAAGATAAAAGACGTGAGATGCTTCTTCATGGTTTACGTGTCCAAATGTCATATATGAATAATGTATTTTATAATCTATTTTTCGCTTCTGCAAGTATAGTTTATCTTCTGCTATTTATGTCTTACATTTAAACTTGGCTCCATGAATATTTTTCATGATTGCAGATATTTAAGGCTGATTTCACGTGTCCTCCATGGTTTTCCTCGAGTGCAAAGAAACTGATCAAAAGAATCCTGGATCCCAATCCATTGACAGTATGTCGATTTGTTCCAGCTTATATAATTGAAATATATTCATTCTTCTATTATTATAGTGTCTTGGGTAATTAATTCAGTCCATGTGATTGTGTATTTGAGAGTGCGAATGACTCTGAGTAAAATTGTTGGTAATGTCTCATACATTTGAAGTCGTGTAATCAATATATGATCTCATTGTGAAACAGCGAATAACAATTGCTGAGGTCATTGAGAATGAGTGGTTTAAGAAAGGATATCAGCCTCCCGCTTTCCACCAAGAAGACGTCAGTGTCGCTGATGTGGATGCCATTTTTAATGAATTGGGGGTAAGAAATTTTCGTATGTTTTGTGATTCTCTCGCAAAAGCATGCCTTTTAATTGTTAATGATGAATATTTTTATTTATTTAATGTCTTGGGCATATAGGGTTCTCCAAATCTTGTCGTAGAGAAGCGGGATGAGAGGCCTGCGGCGCCTGTTGCTATGAATGCATTTGAGCTTATCTCTACTGCTCAGGGTCTCAACCTCAGTTCTCTTTTTGAAAAGCAAATGGTACGTAGTAGGCTTGGGTCTTTGGTGATTTTGTTAATTTCAGATCATCACTTGCCTGTTTGGTGACGTTTTTGGTATATGTTTCAGAATTATTTTATGATAGTATAGGCTACTGTTATCTTGTTCAAGGTGGATATTGCTTCACAATCATGATTCCTATGGTCAAGCATCATATATAAGGACCCCATCTGATCCTGTGCCTGTTACAGTTTTTTAAGCTTTTAAACAGCCGACATATGTTTTAATGACCAGGGGCTTGTCAAACGGGAAACAAGATTTACTTCCAAGTGTCCTGCCAATGAGATAATCTCTAAAATAGAAGAAGCTGCTGTGCCTTTGGGTTTTGGTGTGAAGAAAAGCAATTACAAGGTGCAATTAGTATTCTGTTTTGGGTCCTACTCTTAATTAGTTTAGCCTCGCCTTGTTTCTTTTGTAAATATTAGGCTTCGGTTTACTCTCTGTGAATATATCGGATTTTTTCAACCCAATTTCATTGCCTGGAATGGTTCTGTCATTTTGCTTCGCTGCTCACCAACTACTTTGTTTTGTTTGATTGGTAGAACTGATGAATCAGTGGTAAACTTTGTTTTATATTTTCTCATCCCTTTCAAGCAAAGTCATTATTACATTACATCAGGGTTTATTCAGCTCTTTTGGTCTTGATTTACTTTGATTCAACAATCTTCATTGAGTTGTGCAAGGCTTGATTTTTAAGTAGTGGAGAGACAAAAGAATACATTTTGATAAAAGTGGATTTATGAATTTGATTTTTGGGATTCTTGACTGGTCCATCACTTTTAAAAAAAAGAATCCCTTTTTCTTATTTCTCTCAGATGAAGCTTCAAGGGGAGAAGACTGGACGTAAGGGTCATCTGTCAGTTGCAACAGAGGTTTGTTTCCTCCAAGCACCTTCTTCAGGGAATTCTTTATTAGCAGAAGAATTACATGAAATTTTTTTGGATATGACTTCTTTTGCAGATCTTTGAGGTGGCTCCCTCGCTTTTCATGGTTGAGGTTCGCAAGGCTGGAGGGGACACCTTAGAATTTCACAAGGTATGGTATAGACTATAGAGAGCTCATTTCAATGGTGACACTCAATAAAAATGTCATTTATTGATTACGTGTGAGGGCAGCAATTGGTTTCCTTCTGTCCACCTGGGTGCATCATGTAGGATCTCTTTTATTTCATAAATCGCAAAACCAATGAGCATAACTAGGGTTAGGAGCTTTGCCCATCTCCAGCAATTTTACATATGAATCATCCATAATAAACTCAAGGTCAGGTGTACCGTAGTTTTACTGTGCTTGGCTTCAAGAAACCCAATGAGTACATCATAAGTGTGATCAGCCAATCCCATGCCTGGCCCAAAATTCAACTGTATTGGCTGAGATACCGGTTATATAGATTGTGGCCAGGGGGCTATTTTTTGGCAAATCAGAGGCGGTACCTATGATGGCCAGCCACATGGCATCACTGTCCCATAATATGAAACTTTTTCCGTTGTTTCTTTCTATATAATCATTGGGCTAGAGGGAGAGGGGGAGAGAGAGTTTGTGTGTGTGTGTGCATGCGCGCGTGTGCACACTTGCATGTTGCTCACTTTACAGGCTCAATTTTGTAATCTGTCTGTACAGTTCTACAACAACATCTCAACTGGGTTAAAGGATATCGTCTGGAAATCAGGAGATGAAGCAAAAGAGGATATAACTGACGGTTAGTAGTTTTTATTATTTCAATTACTGGGTATATGTTATGATTAAATAAAAAAGCACACCCAAGTGTACAAGGTTCCACCATTGCGAGGTTTGGGGAGGGGTAGATATATACAACCTATTGCGGTAAGCAGAGAGACTCTTGTCACAACTCGAACCCATGACCAGTAAGCAAAGAGGGTTAGATGTTATAGTTACTTATCCTACAATTTTTTTTCCAAATAATGCAGTGACTGAATTGAGGGACCAATTATATGTGCTAAGTATGCACTAGAGAATCATTCATTGCACCCAACTTTGTGTTAACCATGCAATGAAAACAAACAAAACAAAAGTCGGATGCATTAGTTTTGTCAGATGAAAGGCGATGTCCTCATTACGGTTTCTTCTTTGGCCTAAAAGGTTAATGGGTCTGACTAGTCTTAGGGTTGATCTTGCTCCCTCTTATGTGTTTACTGTGTGTGTATATCTGTTGGCACACACCCAATTTTAGGCTGGAGTGGACCACACTCCTAATACAACCATGTTACCCAGTGCATTTATCTGATGATAAAATATACAAACACCAGTCACAGACAAACATGTTAGCAAAATAGATACACAACCCATGCATATAAACATTAAGTACAAACCATAACCTCAAACCCAAACCTAGGATTTTCAAATTTTGAGTGTCTACATTGCTCAACTATATTCAACATGGCAAAATCACTACTATACTCCAAACTCTCCACCAATTCAACTAGATGCACCGGCGGACATCCCTCCTATTCGCTCACCTGAAATTATAAGTTGGGGGGAGGAGGTGAGTACAACATGCTCAGTGTGTGTGTTTCAAACAATAATGAAAGTACACATCAGATATCAAATTACAACGTTAACATCACCTCCCCAAAGACCATAATCCATATCTTAGCTGTCATAAAAAATTATCACAATAACATCACAAGTCAATGATCAACACAATCATTTATCAATAGCAAATAAGTGCCCTGTTGCCATTTTTAACCACAAAACAGTACATCCACCTTTGAGAACTCAACAACCAAATAATCTCTCCCATAATCTCTGGGAGGTACTGAAATAGATAAGAGTTGCTCCACACCTAACACAGACCATGCCAATATATTCATTATTGCAAAGTTCGTGAATTCATTATATGTGCATGCCTATAAAGTGAAACTTCATTTTCACCTTAACGTCTAGGGTTTAGACAAATAATCATGCTTGACCTATCTGTGTTTGCTTGGTCAATCCTCGCAACACACCAGGAATTTTACAATGAAACTCTTACAACATCCCTTGGACCTTGTTTCGGTTATTTTTCCATAGAGCATCAAATCTGAAAAATGCAATCAGTTTCCTGTTTTCAGCCATTTTTAAACTTAAACCTGTATTTAATTAGACATGACCAGATAATCTAATATACATGATTAGAAAGGTCTGCGAGTCTACTTTTAACGAAACAAATGGTGCATCATTCAAAGTTCTCAAGAATGAAGTTATCGCCACTTTACTACCGGGTGTTCTGGCGGTCTGTTGCAACAAAAAGTGGGGTTGCATCATCCAGGTCGATGAAAAAGACTTTTTCTTGTTCTGGAGAGAAGAAAAGAACCCTCAAGCCATTTTTTACTTCCGACCACAAATTTTCTGTCTGTCTTGGAAATACTTGTGTTTGAGTTGCTGGTTTATTCGTTAGGAATTATTATTGTTCTCGTTCTGCATCTACAGGTGCAGGAACTGTGCCGTCTTGATTTTTGGGCTCCCTTTGAAGGTATATGTTGGTGGAATTTATACAAAATTTCAATTCTCAGTCAGAACTTCACTCTCCGGATTGCTGTATTATACCTTAAATGTTTGTTTGGTGTTGGTTACATTTTTTACTTCCCAGTTCCTCCAGCTCTATGTTTTCTCTCTCGTTTTTTTGCTTTTTGACACTTTACTTTGTGAACCAGGATGCTTCTTTACAACATAAATTTTAAGGATAAGTGCCCTTCCTAAAGAGAAACAAGTTTTGGGATTACTTGTAGTGTGTTTGGTTTAATGGAAAGTTGGGTGGATAAAAAATAGGGAAAGGAAAATGGAATGGAAAGAAAGGTTTTCATCCTTTGGTTTCAAAGGAAAACAGGTGCCCTTTCAAAAGTGGAAGGGAAACGAGACAAAAATTGAAGGTAAATTATTTTTTTGGACAAATTGATTCTTTTGCCCTTGGATATAATTTTCAATATTATGCCGATTTTCTTCACTCTTGGGATGTAAACTTACACATGTCAATTTCTCAGCTCATCAGCGTGAGTAAAAGATTCTCAGTTTCTTTTCTTCAATTATCATTAACTGTTAATCAATTTAACGGTAGAGGAAAATCGTTCTATTCAAATAAACCCCACATCAACTGTCGGATCTTGCATCCTAACAATTTCAATTCCAATCTTGAACATTCCTCAAAAAAATACTTCTAAATACTCTCTCATTTTATTTTTATATTTATGTTTTTTTGCTATTATTTTTGGATATTAATATTTAACATTTTCAAATCTTGAAAATTTTATTATGATAAAAAAATATTTTTTAAAATGTAAAGATATAATGATAAATTAAATATAGGGTTAATTACAAAAATGCTCCTTCAAGTTTGACTCATATTACAATCAATTCCTCTTTGTTCAAATTTCAACCAATTCCTTTGTTTAAATTTCAACGAATTGTCCTTTAAAGTTTAAATATTTTTCAATTCACTCTTAACAGTAAAATTTGGACTGGTAAAAGTGACAAAAATTTATCACGTGCAAAGTCACGTGATCTCACAACAAATTAAATGACCTAAATAATCTCTATTTTTCCTCATGTATAAATGTTACATGGACTTAAAAAATATCCTTAAAAACTAGATTTGATAATTTCATTGAATAATTATTGGGTCCCAATAAATGTTAAAACCCACAGTAAAATCAATGGTTGAGATTATCAAGTCTCTCTCTCTCACACACACACACACATATCACAACAAGACCACCGTGCAACCACCAAAACGTTGCTACATGCTACACCCACCTAGTGAAAATCACTGCATCCTAATCCACCTACCAACAAAAAAAACACACCCCCACCGTAGATTGCAAATAAAAAGACTCAAAGGTGTTATCTGTGATTTGCACGTGATAAAAATTTCACTTATTTGAGAATAAAAATTTCAAAAATCTGTTATAGATAATGTTGTATGTATTCAAAAAATTTGAAACCACTTAATTTGCATGTGACTGATTTTTGTTGCCATTGGCTGTCCAAATTTAACAGTTGGAGTGAATTGAAAAATATTCAAATTTTAAGGGGACAATTTATTGAAATTGAAACCAAGAGGAATTGATTGCAACATGACTCAAATTTGGAGGAGACGTTTTGTAATTAAACTTTAAATATATGTATTTTTTTTTCTAACACTTTTTCTCCGATACCAAACTATAGAAAATTAATTCCTCAAACTTTCCATCTATAATCCCAAACAAAAAAAAAAGGAAGAAAGTCTATTCCTCATACTTTTTTTTCCTTTCAATTTTTCATTTCTTGTACTAAACGAAGCATTTTGCATATTAACATGGGAATTATAAATTCATTTTTGGATTACATATGCAGGAGACAAAATCATAATACCTCATAGGTTTGATGAAGAAAACTTTGATCCTCTTTGAAAGCCCTTCTTGCAAATATTAACAATTGCTTAAGACTGAAGTGTTTCGATTGAATGCATTTTGATGCTTAAGTTATAAATTGTATATGAGAAAAATGTATGCAAAAAAGATTTTACTTACCTTTTGTCATGCATCTAGACTGCGTTATATAGATTTTGTCTTGTTTTAGGGTTTTCTTTACTGGGGTGAGAGATGGTACATCTCCCTTCATTTGAGAGTGTCTGTTGAGGATCGTAAAAATCTTTCATTTACTCCATTAATTGCAGCTCTTCTGAATCATTGATTTTGCTTAGTTGTTGCACCTAAATTTCCTAATTATAGATTTTTTTTTTGTTGTTCGGTTTAGACCACATCTTCAATTGAACTATGTACTTGTGTTGGTTGTATGAATCAAGCTGTTGCAGATCGGTTCGGTTCGTCCCAAACTGCTTATATTTACAACCCACATGAACTGTCTCTTCATGATCACGTGCGTATATCACTTGCCTATATATGTGACATAATTTTATGCCCCTTCACTTGATATGTGAATTTATTTATTTATTTTGAAGTAAAATACTTTTGCATTCGAAAGATTTAAGAATTTTTATTTTGTATTTTTAAAAAATAAATTTTTTATATTGTACCCTCAAAAATTAAAATTTTTCACATTACACTTTCAATGTATTAAAAATATTATAATGTAATATTTTTATTAGCTTCTATTGAGCATTTCGTAAATATTAGTGGAGTAATTTTTAATTGAATAAGTAACAAAAATTAACAGAAGAGTTATGTTGCAACACATTACATACTTTAAAGGTGAAATATATAAAATTTAATTTTTAAAGGTACAAAATAAAAAAAAATTAAGTTTCGTAAACATGCACATGGGTTATACTTTAGGAGTTAAGGGTTGATTTAAAAATTAGAGTGTTGTATTGCTCCTTCAAAATTGGAGCATTAAACATTGGAACTTGATATTGATCAGATGATTCTTATGAAGCCACATTATTATGTTAATAAATTATGTTAGATTTTTAACTCTAAATAACATTATTCTCGAAAAGGGGAGGGGGGAGGGGGGAAAGGGGAAATCAAAAACTAATAATATTATATTAATCATGCTACAGATTAATGAACCAAAGCTAATAATATCTAAAGATTTTCTATTGTTTTGCATTTCAATACTCCAAGGGAAAACTAATAATATTTATAATAAAGGGAAAATTTCAGTTATACTCTTTTTAGTTTATCATGTCTTTAAGGACATTTCCTCTATTATCCAAAATATCACTAACACACATTTTAGTTTATATTTAAACATATGTAACACCTCATGTCTTTAAACCATCATTTCTAACAAAAAAAATTCATCTAAAATACAAATATTCATCTAAAACATAAATAATCTTTCTACATAAAATTTGACTAACATTCAAGTCTATTAAAATTCATTTCTCTACATATTAAAATTTGAGTTGATTAAAATTTATTTTTCTATATATTCAAATTTAACTGATTAAAATTCGATTCGAACTGATTAAATTTTATTTCTTTTACTTATTAAAAATTGAGCATATTAAAAGTCTTTTTTTAAGTATTATAATTCGAGCCGTTTTGATTAAATTTTATTTCTTTTACTTATTAAAAATTGAGCATATTAAAAGTCTTTTTTTAAGTATTATAATTCGAGCCGTTTTGATTAAATTTTATTTCTTTTACTTATTAAAAATTGAGCATATTAAAATTCTTTTTTTAAGTATTATAATTCGAGCCTTTTTGAGCTCTTATCACCGATTAAAATTTGTTTCAAGTCAATTAAAATTTATATTTTTTTATTTATTACAATTTGTATCAAATAAAATTTGAATCAAATTGATTAAAATTTGATTTGTAATCTTAAAAAAGTATAATTTTTAATGGACTTGAATTTTAATACGAAAAAAATAAATTTTAATTAACCTGATTCGAATTTTAATATGTAAAAAAAATTTAGAAAACAGAAGGGATTTCATTGAAAATATGTATATCTAGAGGAGGTGTGGATGCAATTTTTTTTTAAATATATAATGAGGAATTTAGTAAAATTATATTTTAGTTAACACCTTTTGAAAATTCAAAAAAATGAAAAAAGTGTTCTTAAATATATATTAAACTAGAAAGAATGTGGTTAACATTTTCCTCTGTAATCAATTACATCTAAATCACAAACGCTCAAAGTTCTAATAAAATTGGCAGAAACTAGACTCAACTACATAGGCCTTGAATGATTTATGAAACAAATGGAGTCACTGCCTACGCCAAAAAGCTAACTACACCCTCTGCTGTGGACAAGCAATGTTTCCGACGACTTCACTTCCTCTACAGTTGCGTTCTTCGTTGTTGGCAGATTTCTTCAACCTTTTGCAAGCTTCTAGCATAACAAGAGTGAATAACAAGGCCCCGAAGATGACATAATATGCAATCTCCCACCCCTTCCCAGGCTTCAATATCTTGTATCCGATGAACACATTGGCAATACCCAAGGCAAGGACTATGTATCCCACATAATGATGGTAGATGTTCCAATAACATCTGTACTTATGGTCCTTATGGGGTCGGAGACGGAGAGCCAAGACCTGAAGTATCCCAAGAGAGAAGACGGTGGTTCCAATGGCCATATGGTCAGTATGATGGACACCGGCAGACATGAGACGAAGTGCAAGACCAGTTGCCCATCCCACCACACCGATCAAGAAGGCCAAGCACTGACATGAAACGTGAAGGTAGAACCACAAAGGGTCTGAGGGTCGGAAAACCTTCAAGTACCTTGCTAGCATAAATCCAATAGGCATCATCGTACCCCAGCTAATTACATTCAATGCTCCATGAATGTTGCGCAATTTGGATTTTGATTTTCCTCCCTTTGTTGGCACTGATGTTCCAGAAGCAAAGTCCAAAGTTGCCATTGATTGAATATGTTGTCCAGAGAGACCATGCATTCCCAAAGCATTACCTGATGAGATGGGACCGTCTTGCCAAAGATAGTTTATTATGGTAGTGTTTGTTGGAAGCTCCAAAGTAGCAAATATAGCAATCTCATTGTCCATAAAAGTGGCCGACAGATCGGACACTTTGAGACTCAATTCTCCCTCTAACAATTGAGTGCCATAGCTATTGATAGGAGATGTGTAAGCCTTCATTGTTCCGTCCAATTCTTGGTATGCAATCAGTGCTTGTGTGCCTACCATTCCTTTTGATGTAGGATTGATTCCCCATGCAACCCATGTTCTTGAAGATGATTCGGTGTGTCGATAACCTATTTGAACAGTACTTGAAGATGGGTAGTATGTCCAATACAAAAAAGAGTTCAAAACAGGAAGATCAACGCATGAAGCAAAGTGATGATCATCATCCTCCTTGTTTGGGAACACAAAACTGACACATGATTGTGTGGTAGAAGGAAGAGAGATTGCAATGGAAGAAAAAAACAGCGATGATATTATGACAAAAAGAAGCAGAAAA